ATCTACCCTAATCCCCTCCTGCTGCAAAGCTGCCACACTGGTTTTCTCAGCTTGTTTCTTTGGTGAGTCTGCAGCACAACTGCTCAGACTCTGCACACCTGCTTCCGAGTCATGTAGCCCCTTTACCTGTTCCTTGGCACCCCATGCCCCAGCCCGTTAATTATCGCTGCTGCCACCTTCTCCCAGAGGGAGGCCGGGGGGCCCATGCTCCTCCCCAGCAGCCCAGGGAGGGTAAACCTCCTCCTGAAACCACGCAGTGATGCCCTGGCTGGTGCGGCTCAGTGGACTGAGTGCCACCCTGCGAACCGAAAGGTCGCTGGTTTGATTCCCATTCAGGGCACATGCGGCTCCAGATCCCTAGATGGGATCTTGAGCATCGACGTTTCTCGCCCTCTCTTTCTCCGTCCCTCCCCTCTCTTAAAAATAAAGAAATAGGCTTCTCAGGACCCGTGTGCTATGTGCTGCATGGCTGTCACATGCCAGGCCAGAGCCTGGCCTTGGCTCTGAAGAGGACATAGTGGGCAAAGCATTTCTCTCATGGTCCCTGCCCTGGGTGTAGATCCCAGCTCTTCGCTGCCAGCTCTGGGACTTGTGACACAGCTCCTGTGAGCCTCAGGGTGTCTCATCTGCGACAACCTGGGACCATTGCACTCCTCGGGAAAGGGCCGCCCTGAGGAGCAAGCCCCAGCCAGGGGGCGCACTCTATAAATGGCAGCTGCTCTGTCCCTCTCCCCTCCCAAACCTCAGACCCTCCCTGTGGACCAAGGAACAGAGCTCGGTCACCACTGCCCTGGTCCTGTCCCCAGGGCCGAAGCTTGCCTTGAGGGCTGCAGAGGGAGGCCACACTGGGTGTGCCCTTGGCCATTGCTGCGCAGGCTCAAGTAGACAGAGTGCCCCCCAGGACGGTCATTTACAAATCACCAGGGCCAAGTGGTAGCTTTGTCAGTGAGCTGGGCAGCTCAGAGATGCCCAAGGCGGTCCCTTTCTGTGCCCAGCCAAGGACAGAGAGAGATAGCGGGCTCCTCTCCAGAACTTCTAGACATCCCGGTTCCTTCCTACTTCCTCTGCCACGCTGTGGCCCAACTTCTTTGAAGACCCCGCTCTAGCCTCACCACCTTCAGGCACCCTGCCTAGATTGGCCTCAGCTGTATTAAGATGCTCCTGTACCAGCAGCCCCCACGGGCAAAGTCTGGTCTGCAGTGATTTGCTGCCTGTTTATTAAACACCTATTGAGTGTCAGGTGCTGTCCTAGTCCGTTTCATCCACAAGATCTTGTTTAAGCCGTCACAAAGTTTGCACTATTAGGCTCTTTTTTTCAGAGAGGTTAAATCACTTCTACAAGGTCAGCAGGTAGGAAGTGGCAGAGACGGGGTTCACACCTGGGCTGGTCTGAAACTCCAAAGCTTGCGCTCCAACCACTAACAGCGCTGAACTCCTAAGAGGTCCTCTGGCCATTTTCCCGGTCCTCTGGTCATTTTCCCGTGTGTGTGTGTGTGTGTGTGTGTGTGTGTGTGTGTGTGTGTCCTGCATCCCCCGTTAGACTATTCCAAGGCCAAGGTTGTGTCTCCCTGCTACAGCTGTGAGCTCTGAAAGGGCAAGGCCCCACCTACTGCTTCCTCAGTCTCCCCACAGTGCTCGGTGCAAGACTCTGCTCCCGGGCTCTGCCAGGGCTCCCGGGAGCCCGCATATGGCGGCTGGAAGTGGGGGATCATGGTCAGCAGGCCCTGGGGACTACGGGTGGCTGTGGTCAGCCCCCTTAGGGCTGAGCCTTCTCCCAGACACAGTCAGGTGTCTGACCTTCCAGAAGAAAGTCCTCGAGCTCCAATTTCTGCCCTCTGCTCTCACTCTGCTCCCAGCGGCCAGTGCGCTGAGCCCCCCAGGGTGGGGCCCGGAGGCTGGCGGCTGGTGGCTGCCTGGAGGAAAGCCTGGGGCAGGCAGAGAGGTTCTGGTGCAGGGGCATGGGGGGGGGGGCGCTTGGGACCCTGAAGCTGGACAGAATGGGGGGCAGCTATTAACTCCCCTCTGCTCCCTGTGGATTGTCACCAGTGGTGGCAGCAAAGCTCAAACCAAACACGAGCCATGCGCTCGGCGCCTCCCTCCACGCAGGGGATGTGAGGAGGCAACGGGCCGGGGTTCTGGGCTCAGGCTGTGGGGCCTCTCCATGGCCTGGCTGTATGACCTCCAGTAAAACTCACCCGTCTCGGAGCCCACGACCCTCCTCCCAGGGTGGCAGGAGGACTAACTAGGTCAGGAGGCCGAAGGCTCAGCCTGGCTCCAGATAAACGCGCCACAAACAATCGTTAAAAATAAACAGGGAACGCAAAATGGCTCCCGGAGGCGGCATTTGTTGCCTTAATCTGGTCCCCACCACTCGCCCCACATCCTCAGCGCCTCTAGTGCCTGCCACCCGCTACTTTTCCCATGAAAAGGTTGGGGCTTGAAGCCTGTGTAGCTCCCCCTTTCCCAGCCAAGAGGATCTTGATCAGCTGTCTGCACAGAAGGGGGATAATAAAAGTGAAAGGAACACCTACCACGAGTGCTTACTTACTACATGCCAAGTACTGGTCTGAGTGCTTGCCATGAATTTAGCTTTTTCATCCCCTCCCAGCAACCCTAGGACATCCGTGCTGGTATTATTCCCATTTTGGAGATGAGAACACTGAGGCACACACAAAAGGGTAAGTAAGTGGCTGAGGTCGCAGGGCTAGTGCTGGTGGAGCAGGGATGTGAACCCAGGCTGGACGGCCCCGCTCCTGGCCTCTCAGGCCTGGCTCAGAGAAGCTGCCTGCTGCCTGGGGCGGAGGAGGGGGCTGTCCCGTGTGTTGTCTACACCTGGGGTTAGGGTTTGGCTGGGGCGGTCCCAGCACCAGGCTCCCGCCCCCGCCTGGGTGCAGGCTGCACACCTGGCACAGGAGAGCACTTGGAATAAGGGGGCAGTTCTTGGCAGTGGGTGCAGGTGTGGAGACCAGGTTCTCCGGGCTCGGAAGCCAAGGAAGCCGGCAGCTGGAGAGGAGCAGGGCAGGTGCCGGCACCGAGACTGAGGGCTGGCGGTGGGGTGCAGAGGCAAAGGGCCAGGCTCTGGGTTCAAATCCTGCCTCTGTCTCTGCCTCTGCTATTTCTCATAGGCAGCCCCCGAGCAAGTCACTCAACTCCTTTCTGCTCAGTTTGGGGACCGTGATAGTACGTGCCACCAAATAGTTTGTTGTGCCTAAAAAGGTCCCAACCAGTACTTGGTAAATTGTCAGCACTGGGCGTTAGTGACAATTAGAGGGGTGTGCGACCTCCACTCAGCGGTTCAGCCACCCAGAGTTGCTGGGACGGTGGCTGGTGGTCCTCACACCTTGTCGGAGGGCCTAGACCCTGGTCCTGACGCTGCCTTGAGTGACCTTGGCAGGCGTCCCTTCCTCCCAGCCTCTGAACTGCTCTCAGCCGGTCTGCAGCTCACAGGCAAGTCCCGCAGCCCCTTGCATGGGGTGGCCAAGTGATGGGGGAAGGGACAGTCACCAAAAAGCACCAGATCCCAAGTCTCCCTACACCCAGGGACAGCCCAGAGCGGGAGCTTCTGGAGAGACCCTGAGAGCCTGTCACTGCTAAAGAGCCCTAAACACTCTTCATTCTTACAACTACCTTCCCGCTCCAGCCAGGCCGTAGGCCTCACGGGCGCGGGTGCTGTGCTCATCGACGCTGGACACCCAGTGTGGGCACGGTGCCTGGCGCACGGTAGGTGTCATGTTAGTATCAGCTTAATAAATAAGTGAATGAACCTCACACAGCCCGACCCCACCCATGGTCCCGCCCTGACAGCCTCCTGAGACATCCTGAGCCATGCCCCTGAGTGCCCCACAGGGACGAGTGAGCAGAGCCCCTTAGAGGCCACAGGATGGAGGGAGAGGTCTTGTTGTCCCCTCCTCAACAACCCCTGGGTCAAGGACAAGGCCCCCTGTCCTCCCGGGCTTGCCCAGCCCCTCCCCAAGGCCCATTTATCCCTCTGCACCTGAAAAAGCTACTGGGGGCGATGGGTGGGGTGGCAGCCCCCCACGGCCCTGTGGCTGGGATCGGCGGGTTTGGCCAGTCACCTCCACCCCCAGCGCCACCCCCCGCCACTGCCCCGACGCACTGCAGGGCCAAGACCCCTGGTGGGAGAGTGGCTCAGCTGACCTCTTCTAAAGTGTTGCTCAGCAGCCTGTTGGAAAGCTGGTGGCGGGGAGGGCTCTAAGGACCAGCCTGCCACCCTCCAGGGAAGCTCCCCGCGGCTCCGGGTGCCCCCTTGGGGGACACAGGGAGGGGGCAGTGGCAGACAGGCTCTCGCTGGCTTTTACAGCTCACAGACAGATGGGCCCCGGGGTGACTGGGAACACCAGCTGTCTCCTCCCTTCCCACTGCCTGACCGAGGGTGGGGGTGGGGATGAGGAGTTAGGATGAGGGTGGCCGAGGACCCGGAACCTTCTTTATAACCTGTTCACCTCCACGAAACCCTCGCTGCCAGTGGGGTTCAGGGGCATGGGATAAGGGGACAGACATGGGGCGTGTCCAGCTAGTAAGGCCTGTGTCTTGGGGGTGTGTGGGAGGGAGAATATTCTCCTGGTCCCCCACCCCCCACCCCCAAGTGCCTCCAGAACAGTCAGGTAAATCAGGAGCCCCCTTTCCCTCCAAGACACACAACAGGGGGTGCGTGGCTGCTGGAAAGGTAGTGACCCTGCTTCAGGCCACCTGCCAGGGTGTGGTTCCAAGCGGGGCTGGAGCTGCCGTGACCTCCCTGCCCTCTCTCTCGGCGCTGCACCCCATCCTCCCAGCCCTGTCGAGGGCGAGGCGGGGGCACCGCATTTCCTAGGGTTCACCCCGCCCCCCCGCGCCGGGGTGGGGTGGGGATGCGGCTGGTCAGGAAGGGCGGGTTGCCCACCCTCACTTCCCAGTTTTCTTGGAGCGTCCCGAGGGGATGTGTGCGCGTTCTCGGCGCGGGGACCCGGGCCCCCACCCCCACCAGCCCGCGGCCTCCTCACCTCGCGACACACAGGAGCCCATCACGGGGCCGCGGGGCCGGGGCGCTGCGCCTTGGGTGCGTCGGACCGCCGGGCGATCATGTCTCCGCAGCCTGGGGCTCGCGCGTGGCCCGGGCGCAGGGGAAGGGCGGGAGGGGAAGGGGCAGGGGTTCCTCTCTGCTCGGCCGCCTCTCAGCTCGGTCCCCGCCGCCGCCGCCGCCGCCGCCTTCCGCGCCAGCTGCTGCCAGCACCGCGGATTGGTGTGTGTCGGGGGAGGGGAGCCGGGACCGCTCGCCCGGAACCCGGAGCGCGGAGCCAAGCGAGGGTGCCCGCCCCTTCCCAGCCCCCGCGCCACCGCCTCGCGCACCTGTTGTCGCAGCGGCGCTGGGGGCGGGGCGGCGGGTGTTGGGGGTTGAGGGGCGTGCGGGGCGGTGGTATTTCTGGCCCTCACCTGGCACCGCCCGGTGGCAGGGGCTGAAGGTCAGGGAAGGGGGCGGTGGGGGCGGGGAGACCTCTAGCATTTGGGACACAAAGTGCACAACGTTAACTGAGCAACGACGACCAGACACCTGGCCGAGAGCAGTAACAACCGTCCCATTATACGCCCGCTTCGCAGGGGAAGAGACAGACTCACGGAAGTCAGGCGGCTGCCTTGCCTGAGATCCCCTAGCTGAGAGGGGCACTCCTCACTCGGGGAGGCTGGCCCAGGGCGGCGGTACAGAGGGTGGCGCCCCTCCTCGCGTCTCCCGCCCCGCCTGAAGGGGGCAGCACCTGCCTCTCCAGCCTTGGCTGGACCATGTGAACCCAGGCGCAGGGATTAGCTGAGCCCTGGTGTCCTGTCTAAGGACGGACAGTGGTCCACTCTCATTACTCACACGTGTACACACACGTACACAAACTAGTGCACACCCACAGTGTGTGCAACAGCCACACGCTCTCACATTTACACAGCACCCCCTCCCCACCCCCAGCTCCTTACAGCAAACCTCAGCTGGCGCACAGCTCTTCAGCGTCCGCAGCGCTGTGTTTCACACGCTTTACACACTTTATCTCGCTGCATCCTTACACCAACCTACGCACCAGGAAGGGCCGGCGTCACTGTGTCCCTTTGACACAGGCAGGCGACGAAGCCAGGTTCACGGTCCCCTTCAAAAACCTGGTGAAGGCCGGCAGGTTCTGGAGGGATGGCGGAGTAGTGAGGCCCGGGCGTGGGTCGCAGCTAAAGGCCTCCGCAGGGCAGGGTCTGACCCCGTGGGACTGCCGAGAATGGGGGTGGGTGCCGGATGCACACGGGTACTGCCCTTATCCTCTTTCCCCAGGCCCGGTGCCCTCTCTGGAGTGAAGTCCCGGTGGGGAGCCTGGTGTGAACGTGGACTCGGGCCTCCCCAGTGGTGTGGCCGTGGCAGGTTGCTTCCCCTCCCTGGGGCTCTGTGTTTTCATCTGCTAACTAGGGGTTAAAACCCCTCCTCGTGGGGTGCTCTCAGGATTGAGGGGATAACATATGCCCAGGGACTGGCACATACGAGGTATTTAGGGCTAGAAATAAGTAACAGCACAGTGAACACGGTACCAGATGATGAATTGTTGCCTGGCCCAGCTTTCCTCCACCCGTGCGAAGTCCGGGGAAATGCTATTCCATGGATGTGCATGAAGCGCCTACGATGTGCCCGTGTGAACAAGACATGTCAGTCCTGGCGGCAGTGCTGTGTTCAGCTGGGCGCTCAGGGACCCCCACGCTGCGCTCCCATCAGGCCAGCTCTGCCCCCCAAGTCTGCCCTGGGGGAGGACAACTCAGAAGGGACAGTCTGTCCTGACCACCGTGGGTGCCTAGCGCCTTGCAGGGCCGACCGTGAGCTTGCCCTTGTGAGCAGAAGGTAAGACGGGTCTTCCCGTGGCCAGGCTCCAGGGTCCTTTCCTGTGTAGCCTGGGGCCAGGGAGGTAGAGTGTCCTTTCTCTTCTTCCTGTTGTGGAGTGACTGGACCTGGCTTGGACAGAGGGTTCTGACTCACTGTGACGCACGACACTTGGTCACAGCTGCCGATGCTCCCAGCTGGCAGCCTGGCAGCTCTGGGGGCAGAGAGGACAGGACAGAGAGGATGGCGGGGGGCCCGCTGTGCCCCCTTCAGCCTAAGATGGGGACAGGGGGATGAGGCTGGGCAGCGGCCCCACCCAGAGTGACTTGCTCACCAACTCAGAGGTACCCCTAGGGTGGGGTGACAGATGCTGGCTATCCTCACCTCCGGCATGGGCGACGGTCAGTTCCACACTCCCATTGTAGACTGGCGCTCAGAGAGGGGCAGGGGCTTGCCCAAGGTCACACAGCAAATTGAGAGCAGAGTGGAGACTAGAACTCAGCTCCCCTGCCTGTCAACCTGGCTGTGGCCCTGGCCTGAGGTTGGGCCATGCAGGGATGGGCCGCTTCCCCTTGCACACCCACATTCACCTTCCCAGTCATTGGAATTCTGCTGAAGCAGACGATTCCCAGATTCCCAGACAGCTCCAAGATGCGTGGCTGTCCTTCCCCGGGGCAGGCTGTCCTTCCCCAGCTCAGCCCGTAGCCCATCTGCCCCGTGATCTTCCACTACCCTCCCCCGCATGCACCATGCTCTGCCCATCCATGGGAGAGGAACGAGGGGACCTCTGGCAGATGAAGGGACCAGAGGAGAGGGTGCCCAGGCTGTGCCCTTCACACCCCGAACCCCATTCTCCTGTCATGATCTTGACCCAGCGGGAGCCCCCAGCCCTGTGGCCTGCCCCCACTGGCCTATTCAGTGACAGACGTTCACTAGCCCTGAGCACCCGGCCCAGAGCTGGGCGCTGGAGCGTGGAGAGTGGATGCTGCCGAGTCTGATCAGAGAACGCTTAATCAACAGAGCCGGCACAGTGATGAATCAGACTCAGTCCCTGCCCGGGCAGTCTTGGGAGGGGGGACAGTGCAGCGGGGATGGGGGGGGAGAGCCACGTGCGTAAATAACTCGGGTCATGGTGGACAGCGGAGCATCCCCGTGCCAGCCCAGGGCAGCTAGAGGAGAGTTGCTTCTGGCAGGGTCATGGGATGGCTTCAGATGATGGTGACCCTGCAATGGCATTTTGAAGGTTGAATGGGACGCGGCAGGCAGAGGTGGTGGAGGTCTAGAGGGTCCAGAGGCAGAGACGTAAGGGGCTCCCGGGGACTGGCATATGTGTATATGACGTCTGGGGGGCCAGCGGGAGAGGACGGGACTTCGGACTGGGATTGCCCACCTCTGGGCCTCTAGCAGCTCCTCCGCACCTGCTTTCTCAGGAAAGGCGAAACCGGGGGTGCACAAGGAGAATGGAACTGGGAGCCTGGCAGATCTGGGTTGGCTCAGTCCATAGTAGCTGCTCAATAAGCATTTGTTGACTGAATGCAAGAAAGTGAGACTTGTCCAAGGTTACACATCTGGAAAGTGGTCATAGCGAGGCCTCACAGATTCAATCTTTCATTCATCCAGTAAGTGCCCATTGAGCACCTACTGCGTGCCTGGCACTGTGCGTTGCTGAGATTACAGCATGAATGAGCCAGACAAGGTCCCTGGGGCAGGCAGGCATCAGCCCAGTAAGGAGCCAGGACAACAGAGAATCGCAGCCCTGAGAAGCACTCGGGGGAGGGGGGTGCGGCGTGGCGCCGGATAGGAGGGCTCTCTCAGGTCCCGGGTGCGGAGAGAGCGTCCGGGGAAGTGACCGCGATGGAGTCCACAGCTGACGGATGAGTAGGACTCGGCTTGGCAGAGAGAACAGCCCGGCCACAGTTTGGAGGTGGAAGGAAGGGATAATTCCCAGGAGGCAGAGAGGGCTACGATGGCTGGAGCCCAGAGGAGGAGAGGGAGGAGGTGGCAGGAGCCCGCTCCGCCAGGGCCTCCCCCTTGGATCTCTCCAGCCGGTATCTGAAGGGCAATGGAGGTCCCATCCTCTGTTTGCTCATCTGCAAACCAAGCTTCCTTCCAGTCTCTCTCAGCTGGGGTCGAGGCCCAGATGAGGCTCCCAGTCCCGTTCCCTGTGTCTCAGGGAGCCCAGCCTGTCTTGGGGCCTTGAGGGCCAGGGCTTAGGGCCTTCCTGGGAAGCCTGAGTTAGAAGGCCACAGGCTGACCTTAAATAATGTGCTCACACTTAGCTCTAGGCTCGAGATTCTGGGCTTTCAGCTGGAGAGGGGTGACAGGTCGGAGTCCCTCACGGGCAACCAGCTGGACTAGGTGGGGAAGGGAGAGACCAGAGGGCAAGCCCCCAGTCCGATGGAGGAGACACACCATTGTGCTATGCACTGGGGACACTGGGGCAGGACCAGCACCCCTGCTGGGGGAGCTTCCAGCCAGGTGAGTAAACAGGTGCCCTGAGCTCATCTCTAAAATGCCTGGCCTGGTCTATGATGGCTCTTCACCACAGAATCTCTTTCTCAGGCTTCAGAGGCTGGCACCCATGGGTATTGGGTCTCTGCAGGCAGGGAGGAGACCCACTTGCTAGGGCTAAGGCACAAACACAGGTCTCACCTGAGATGCTTTTCCTGAGCTGTGCATGTCATGCAGCATATGGCCACCAGGGGGCAGATGGAGACAGCACCATTTTTCACTGCTTTGCTTTGCTTTGCTTGTCTCCCTTGGCCAATTGACCCAGAAAGTACCACGCTGCCAACTCAGACCCAACCACACGGTCCAACGTTGGACATTGTGTTCCCTGCACAAGGGCGCCCAGCCGGGAGGGAGGGCACTGAAACCCTGACTGCTCCTGTCGCCAAGCCCTGAGCTAGGGAATAGGCTGTCAGCCTGGATATGGGGCACTTTTTTTCTAGCACAAAGGTGTCATCTCCTTGCTAAGCTGGGTGCTACAAGGCTGCATCCACCCAGATTTGCACAGAGTCTCCATCTAGGCTAGCACTGTCCTGAGCTCGGACATCACCTGCTCCTAACCCCCACTACACAGATGCGGAGATGGAGACCCAGGAAAGGGACCGAGGCCCGTTGGGAGCAGAGCTGGGACTGAAACCCCACAGCCGGTGGGGCTCCCTGCTCAACCTGGAGGGCTCAGGGGCTAGGTGCTACCTCTGGAGGCAGGCCCTGCCTGTGGGTCCCAGGGCCTGATGTTTGGGGTCTTTCTGGGAAGCCTGAGAAAGTCACCGGCTGAATTCCAAATGTGCCCACTCTCAGCTCCAGGCTTGACACTGGCTATTCCCAGCTGGGGTGGGAGTGTGGCAGGCTGGACCAGATGGGGCAGGGGGAGAGAGAAGGGCAAGCCCTCTGTGTGTTGGAGCAGACACCGCT